CAGGAACAGTGTCCCAAATGTGGATTCGGAGCAAGATGGCGCGCCCAGCCCGAGCTCCACCCCCACCCACTCAGTTCTGTCTGTTCAGATGCAAAGGGTAATCACGGTGCAGGGTTATGGTTCTCGGACCAGCAGTAGCAACAGCACCTGAGAGTAGGGTGACCCACCATCCGGTTTGCCTGGGGTGACCTGGGTTTAGCACTGAAAGTCCAACATTCTGAAAAATCCCTTGGTCAGTCCTGGGCAAACTGGGTCATTAGCCACTGCATATAACTCTGACACTTGTGCAGGAAAACTACTGCCCTGCCCTGTGGATGGGAAAACAGACACCCAGAGAAAGGAAGTAAGGAGCCCGAGTGCAGGCGGCTAGAAAGGGGCAGAGCCAGGGAGTCCCGCCTCTGTGCACAGCTCAGCAGCCCGGCTCAGGCAGCAGGTGCCGCAGACGCACCGAAGTCGAACCAGTTAGCTTGCTAGGAGATTTAAAAGGCACCAAAAAGGACCCAAACCCGTTGCTGTTGTCAGTGGGCACTGGGGTCAGGCAGGGAAGGTGGGGACGGCCATCTTCGGAGCTGGGGGGACCCCGCTGAGCCTGGAGCCTGTGGATAGGCAGCAAGGAGCTGGTGCCCCAGATGCAGGCACAGCAGAGCCACGGCACGGAGGGAGGGGCAGTAGGTCTCGTAAGAGGCCAGAGAAGAGATCAGCTTGGCTGAAGCGGGGCTCTAGGAGACACGGTCCCCTCTTCTTTGTACTCAGGCTAGTCTGGGACCCCATGACAAAATGCCGACTACCTCCCCCGTGGGGGCTGGGCGAGGTGTCTCCGCCCTGCCTGCCCCCACTGTCTCCTCTTGCCCCTTAGGGACACTTCCTCCCATTGGTTCGGAAAGCCCGACTTCCCCAGACAGAAATAAAACCCACTTAGGAAGGTAGTCTGTTTCCCGCAAATCCTCAGACACTCCTCAGAGCTCAGTGAACATGGTCTCAGAGGCTCAGAAGCCCTGGTTCCTCCACTCCTGGCAGGTCAAGTAGCATGGGTTTGCTCTTCTCCTCTCCAGGGGCTACTGTGGCCTTTCCCACTCCCACCGCCCCTCCCCCTTCTGCCCCTCCCCCACGTAGTACTCTCTAACCACAGGGGAGGCCCAGGAAAGGAGGGTCCTGGAGAGGGGTGTCCATTAGGACAGCTGTCCGTCTGCTAGGGGTCCCATCCCGAACCATCTGGCAAGTGGGCTAGGAGTGCCCACCCTCCTAGGAGGCTTGTTGCTTCGCCCTCCCTGTCCGCCTATCCTGGGTCACTAGGCAGTAGAGTTAGTGGCATTTGATGTCCCAAAGCTGGTGCACAACGACAAGAGGATGTTCAGTGAGGCCATCCTTAATGAGACTTGCATTTCAGAGAGTCCTCTTTCGGGGGCTGATGGGCTGGGGCTGATGGGTGCCCAGCGACCAGTTAAGAGGTTAGTGCTGAAGTCCAAGAAAGAGATGACGAGGCCTGAACCAGACCAGTGGCAGCAGGGATGCTGAGCAGGGGACAGACACATATGGGCAGGCAGTGAGCACCACTAAGAGACAGCGGGGGAACCACCCCAGGGAGGTGGAAGAAGAAGCCATGTGAGAGATTGACATGCAAGGGAAAGGCTAGGAGAGCAGGAGAGTATTGGTCCCAGAAGCCAGGGGGCAGGGGCTGGGCCACAGTACCACGTGCTGGGAGAGATCCCAGTGACATGAGGTAGTGAGGATTCACCTGTGGCAGAGTGGTATCAGTGCAGGATGGTGGTGAGTTCGGGATCCAGGAGAGGGGAGAAACAGGAGATTCAGGCAGATATTTTCAAATGAGAAGGCTAGGGAATCAGCCAGAAGAAGGCCTAGGGTAAAGGAGCATTTTTTTTTTTTTTTGCATTGAAAAGAAGGGAAACTTGTGATTGCTGATTTCCCTGAGAAAGATTGTACTCCAAAACCATCTGAGACCCAGGCTTTTTTAAACTGATGACTCTGCCCTTTTCAACTCATGGCTCAAAGTGGCTGCTTGAGCCACAGTCCTTTCATCAACCATCCAGGCAACAGGAAGAAGGAAAGGGTGAAGAGAGACATGCCCCCTCCTCAGTCTAAGGATATTTCTGATTATCAGAGATAAAGAATGACATTGATGACAAAGGGATCAGTCTACCAGGATGGTATCACAACCCCAAATCTGTATGTACTCTATAAAATAATTGCAAAATATGTGAAGCAAAAAGAACAGAACTGAAGGAGAGACAAATTCATAGTCACATGGGAGTCTGTAATACACCTTTTGAACAGAGAGTGGAACAAGCAGAAACAAAATCAGTGAGGATAGATGTGAAAAGTGCTGCTAACAAATTTGGCCTAGTGAACACACACAGAGTTCCACACCCTGCAGTGGCAGGTTTCATGGCACGTGAAACACACGCACCCAGAAGCTGCATACACCCCTTCAGCTACGTGCCATTTGCCAGCAGTTAACCCTGGCTGCACCTAGCAGGAAGGGGTGCAGGGAAATGTCTGCTCCAGGTGGCTAGTACCCACTAACACTGAGGGATTCTAGTCCTTAGGCAGAAGGGGAGAACAAGTATTAAGGAAACCAGCCATCTGTGTCCCTTCCTCGTCCCCTCCCCTGAGAGCAGTGCACAATGGGTAAGAGCTTGGACCAAGTCAGATGCTCCGCATTCTCTCCTGGCTTTGCCGCTTACTTGCTGTGTGACTCTGGACAGTTTGTGTAACTTGGCTCAGCCTCAGTTTCCTTATCTTTCAAAATGGGAACAACCTGTACCTCCTAGGGCTGTTGGGAAGATGGAATAAGATAACACGTGTAAAGCACTTAGTTCCGTGCCTGGCACATAATAAATGCTCAATAAATGTTAGCTGCACAGAGAGGTTAAGTAACTTACCCAAGGTCACACAGCCAATAAATGACAAGACTAGCTTTCAGATCCAAGCATCTGGCTCCAAGCTGGTACTGACACTTCTTCGGGACCTCTGGCAGCCCCAGCACAGAGCCCTACCTGTAGTGGGGGTGCAGTGGGGGGATTGGGGGACTGCTACCACCAATTAGCCATGTCACTTTAGAGAGTGTTAACTTCCCCACTCCCTCTGCAGAAGGTTGACTTAATGAGCCCAACATTTCCCATGACCCTGACATTCTGTGGTTCTGTCTTCTCTACCACTAATGGCTGAAAATTTTACCAATAGAAATGTGTTTCTTTTTCTTAAATCCCATCTTCTGCCTCAACTCCTTTTTTAGAAATACAGTTTTCCTTTAGAGGGTCCTGACCCCTTGGTTTACAGGACAGAAGGGTCTGTAGCATGGTTCTGTGGGCCCTGGTTGGGAGGAGAGGGGGAGGCAAAGGGAGAAGAGATGCAGACAGGAGAGGCCAGCCCCAAACAAACCATCCATTTACTCATGGCCCGCGGTGGCCCAGTGGCGCTCTTGTCAGGCACGTGCAGGATGGCCGCGTAATAGCTCCTATCCCAGTTGCCCGGCTGACCCCATCTGTCACCATTTCTCACACTTTTTTGTAGGCTTCCTTTTTCCTCCTTCTGTATTTTTTTTTCCGCCACACTGCGTCTCAGACGAAATTGGAGAAAAATGGGTTTTGTCCTTTTTTAACCAGAAGACTAAAACTCTTAAATTACCTTCTTTAAGTTCTGCAAATAGAAATCCCAAATAAGACAGCCACCTTTTCCTCTCTCTCTCTCTCTCTCTGTCTCTGTCTCTCTCTCTCTTCCTCTCCCTGTCTTAGGAGCCCAGGAGCTTGAAATAAAAGGCAGGATGGTGGCTTAGGAGGAATGATCTGGGCTTGACCCAGCACCGGCCAAGGAAAAGGAGCGGAGCAGTGGCAAGGAGGGCCCGACCAGAGGTGGGGAATGAGGGAGAAAGAAATGGAAGTGAGCAAAACCAGTGCCCCGTTGCTTGTGGTTCTAGAGTAAGAGGTCCCCTCGAGAGAGCGAGTTCCTCAAGGAGCAGCTACTCTGTGAGTGTTAGGCCGTGGCTGGGTGCCTGGGGGAAATGGAGCCCAGGAGAAGCAGAAAGTACAGGGCCTGTTGTTCAGACTCACCGAGAAGCACACAGGACTATGGGCACAGTGAGCCTCCCCTGCCTGTGTCACCCCACCGATGTCACACACGGTTCCCAGAGACTCCAGCAGGGGGCAGCAGGACAAGGGAGAGGGAGCATGGTTCCAGGGCAAAAACTAGGAATTCTGGGGCTGGAGGCCTGGGTCCTAATCCCTGCCACACACACTACTAATAATAGCTAACATCTACTGAGCGCTTACTGTGTGCCCAGGACTATGCTGAGCACCTCACATAGATGATCCCATTTAATCTTCCAAACAAGCCTGCGATGTAGGCTTCATTATTCTCTCTGCTACAGACGAGGACACTGAGAAATGGGAGATCGCATGACTCGCCAAAAGCCTCTCGTATCTTGTGGCAGACCTGGGTTTGAACCCAGGCAGTCCGACTCCAGAGCTCTTGTATTTCTTCCTGCCAAACAACTGGGCCTGCTGCCTTGCTTCCTCATTTGGAAAGTCATGATGCAGGGGACCAGTGGGGCGGACTGGATGAGGTTGACGTCCTTTCCAGCATGGACCGCCTGATTTGGGGCTCATGCCTCACCTGTGCACACAGATGTCCCATTCAAATGATGCAGAGTGCCAGGTAAATTTGTGCCCTGCAACCCTGATGAGACAGGGGAGGGGAATAAGAACACTTCTTACTGTAGGAGACAAATGGGCTGGGGCTGATGTAGGTTGGAGTTATGGCGAAAGGGCAAAACCGAGATCCGAAGGGTCTAGAAAATTCTGCGCAATTCACCTCTATTGTGCATCCGATAGCCTTTGCATTTCCCTGCTCTTTGCTCCAGGTAACATACCCCCAGCCTCAGACCCACCTGGCCAAACAGGCTAGGAAGGAGCTCTGGCTCTGGGAAGGGTGAGGTGGTTTGCTATGGGGCCCCCTGCCAGCCCCCTGTTTCTACTTCTTTGCAGGCCCAGCAACCATGGCCCATTACAAGGCCGAGCAGGACGACTGGCTGATTGTCTACCTGAAGTATTTACTCTTCATCTTTAACTTCTTCTTCTGGGTAAGTGAATCTTGCACAGGCATCCCCTGGCCCAGCACGGAGTGAGTCAAACCACCTTTGTTCTTTGTGAGTCACCACTCGGGCTGATTTCTTCCAAATCAAAGACCACCCATGGGCAAATTCTGCCTACTCTAAAGCAAATATGTACAGTTGCCACTGAGGGGGAAGAAAAGAATCTGGTCTGCAGGTTGGCATGGAGTCCGGACCACAAAGCATTTGAAGAGAGGATACATAAACATAACAATGAGCTTTGTGTCCCTATGGCTCTACAAAGGGTCCGGCTCTTTCTTCCCTGCTAACTTGTTGCACCAGGGCCTTGTGGGAAATGTGCCTGCCTGAAATAATTGCCTGTTTTTCACCGAAGCCCGAAGCCCGTTTGCCTTTCATGGTTAACATTCTCCAGGCCCCAGGGCAGAGAAACAGAAGTCATGGGGCCCGGGGCTGGTGCGGTGGGAGTGGCCTCCATAGTGACTCCCCTCAGGAAGCCTGCCCAGTGAGGTCTTCCAGGCGGAGTGGAGTCTGTCCAATTAAAGCAGTTATCGAGGTAATTGGGAGCAGAATACCACTGGTTCCCCAAAATAACCAGACACTGGAATGTGTGTGTTTTGTATTCCAATCTCCCTAGATCTGGAGCGGCAGAAGGGTGCTGGGAGAGGAGGCTTTGCTAGGCTCTGCTGTTTACTGATGGCGCTGCCTGGGGCAAGCCACTTAACATTGGCTGAGTCTCTTTCCCCAGCTACAAAATGGGAATCATTTCTAACTGCCTGGGATTTGTAAAAAAACGAGACAACAGGCCCCAAACGGAGTCACTTAATGCTAAGCTTCATGTCACCAAACTGAGACTTAATTACAGTCTCAGCTCTCCCAGAAATGGCATCTTAAACCAGTCAATCAGGAATCTCCTGATGAGCACTAGTTAGGTAATCCACCTGCTAGACCCCTGCCTTCCCCTAAAGGAAAGTAACCTTGCAATAACCAACCTGTTTTTTTGCCTAGCATAACATCCTTACTCCTGCTCCTTTCTGGCTATAAAAGTCTTTCCTTTGGTGCAAACTCATCGATGCTCCTTTCTATCTGCTAGATTGGATGCTGCCTGATTGGAATCAATTTCTGCTCAAAGAAACTCTTAAAATGTTTAATATACCTCAGTTTATCTCTTAACAGTTCGATTAGCAGATGCCCTAAAAGGGTATGTGGTAAGTAAGTGCTTAGCTCAGTCTTTGCACATAGAAGGCATCCAGTAAATGCCACATTTTAGATATGTTAGCTGCAGAAGGCTTACAAATACCACCAAATCAGCCTGCTGGTAGAGCAGAGCTGAAGTCCCTGCTTCCCTTGGGAAGAATTCCCTCCCTTGGCAGAGTCTTAGAAACGTCTCAGAAAGGCAAAGGCAAAGATGGGTTATATCTACGTGTTCAGGGTCTTTCATTAAGACTAATTAAACTGCTTGAGATGGGGAAATGTGTTGAGACCCTGAAGAATCATGTTACAGGAGTTAAGGATTAGTGGGCACGGCAAGGCCAGGGTTTGGGAGAGCCTTGGAGAGTAGACACTCATTTGATGCTATCTGTTAAAAAGTCGAATCATTTGATGTTTGTTTAAATGTCTTTTGCAAATCCCTGAAACGAACCATAAACTTATTTTATTTGCAACTTTTATCTTCCTGTGCAAGAGTTTCCTGGAATAGTAAAGCTGGCCTGATGAAGCCAATGGACTAATAAAGTCACGGTGATGTGATCAGTAAGCTGTGTGAGTGCAGATAGTTTTGATTCTCAGAGATAAATCCAATAATCCAATAGAGTGCTTAGGATTCTTGTTGAGTGAGGATTTTTTTTTTTTTTAAGAATAAGTATGTTTTTCCCCAATCATAAAAGTCTGTGTCTCCACTACGGATAATCCCTAAAATACCGAAAAGTATAAATAAGAAAATAAAAATTGCTCACATCTCAGTATATTAGGTTCCTAGGGCTGCCATAACAGAGTATATAAACTGGGTGGTCTTGTTTTGCTTTGTTGTGTTTTGTTTTTTAAACATTTTATTTATTTGAGAGAGAGACAGCATGAGCAGGGCAGAGGGAGAGGAAGAAGCAGACTCCCCGCTGAGCAGGGAGCCTGACCTGGGTCTCAATCTCAGGACCCTGGGATCATGACCTGAGCCAAGGGCAGACACTTAACTGACTGAGCCAGCCAGGCGCCCCATAAACTGGGTGGTTTTCAAACAACAGAAATTTATCCTCTCATACCTCTGGGGGCTGGAAGTCCAAACTCAAGGTGTCATCAAGGCCATGCTCCTTCTGAGACTCTGGGTAGACTCTTTCCTTGACTCTTCCTAAATTCTGGTGGTGGCTGGCAATTCTTGGCAATCTTGGGCTTCCGCTGCATGACTCCGATCTTGGCCTCTGCCATCCGGTTCTGTTCTTCCTGTGTGTCTCTGTCTTTACGTGGCATTGTCTTCTCCTTAGAAGGACCCCACTTGTATCTGATAAGGGCCCACCCTGATGACCTCGTTGCAACTTGATTACATCTACAAAGATCCTATTTCCAAATAAGGTCCCATTTACAGGTACCAGAGTTAGGACTTCAGCAGACCTTTTTGAGGACACAATTCAACCCATAATATTCACCATCCAGGGATGACCCGAGTTGACATTCCCTCCAGACGAGGTCCCGATCAGGACAGGAGATGGTGGTGACCTGCACCATGGGAGTGACGGCAGGAATCAAAATATTTGGAGAGAGTCAAGGGATTTGGGAGGTAAAATTAGGTCACAAACTGGTTAAGAAGAAAGAAAACGTGTAACTTTGGGTGGATGGTGAAGCCCCTCACTGCAGCGGTAGACCAGAAGGACAAGCAGTTTGGCCTCAGATGGTGAGGTCAGATGGAGGCATGGTGGGTTTGAGTTGCCAGGAGACATCTGAGCAGAGATGCCCTGTGGGAAGTTGGCTCATGGTTCTGGATCATTCCCACCCGGGTGGTGGCTGCAGCCACAGAAGTAGGTGAAGACCCCCAAGGACAGCACGGAGACTGAGGAGAGAAGCGAGAATGAGACGCGGAGGGTCAGGGGTGAGTCTAGGCTTAACAGTGGCCCCCATTTGCCCTGCCTGAGAGAGCTCCTGAGATGTGGGACTTCCGGTGCTCCCAGCAGGAGAGCCCCAGGCAAGCTGAGAGGAGCCGTCCCCCAGGAAGGCTGGAGGAGGGACCGTCAGGGCGGTGGGAGGCAAACCAGGAGGGACAGTTTCCCAGAAGCTGGAGATTGGGGGCGGGGCGGTGTTCAAGGGAGAAGATACAGCAAGTATTTTAAGGCCTGGAGAGAGGCAATTAGGTTTGACCAAACGGTTTATTGGTAGTTGTAGTGACAGAACTCTCGGGAGAGTAGTGGGGGCGGGGGTCGAGGAAGTAGGCCGTCAGTGTAGACAACATGTGCTGGGCGGCAGGAGAAGAGAGGGCTGTAGGTAGCAGGGCCAGGAGGCTGCTGTGAGGTGCTCAGCCCAGAATATCTTTGGAAGGGCCCTGACCTTGCCTGTGACCACCCTCAGGGGCCCTTCCAGCCAGCATGGACTGGGGGTCTGTCTGTTCAGTGTTTGCATTCCTTTGGGAGTGGTAGGGAGAGGGAGGTGGGGGCGGCGGCACAGGCAGATGGGCAGCGAGCATGTTACCCGAGCAGCTACCAGTGAGGGGGAGCTTCCCCCATATAGATCTCCCTGCTTTGGGATAAAAATACCCCTGCCTGGGGGCCTGGCTGGACATGGACCAGCTTCCCAGGGACCCATTCAGCCAAGCCTCATCCACCTTATGACAGATGGTCCGTTTGGGGATGTTCAGGCCTCAGTGTCCAGTCCAGGGGCATCCCGGCATTGTCCCCTGGATCCGCTGCGATCTCCTCGGAAGTAGACGGGGGACAGACTGCTGGCCCATCTCCTCCCACAGCAGAGCGCATTGTCATACATCTGGCAATGCGCAAAGGCCCTGGGAACTTACCAGAATTCCCTAGGAACGGGGCGTGTCGGTGAAGTTCCCTTCCCACAAGGAAAGGGTCCTACCCACATACATCCCAGAGTCCAGCTGCCAGCCCTCCACCCGAGCCCCTCTTACAAGACACGTAGTAATGCCAGTGTCTACACTGGTCGGTGCTCACAGCCCTTCTGCCTTCCTCTTAGACTCTACTGCAGAGCATCAGGGAGGGTCTTCAGACAGCTCCAGGCTCCTGCTCACTAACGCCCCTGGCTACCACCGCCACCCCTGTGCGGACACTGAGAGGGAGCCCAGACAGCAGAGGTGCACTGCCTTTGCTAGGATGATTGGGGTGAACACTCGTACGTCCTTTCCCCCGAGAAAAACAGTGTTCCTCCCCCGTACATCACCTTGCCAAACTCAGTCCAAATCCAGCACAGCGAGGATAAAGACACCCTTCCTCGCGGCAGTTATGAAGCCTAGTGTTTGTGAGCCACTGCTGGATAAAGACCTTCCTCAGATTATCTCATGCAATCCTCAAATCAACCCTGAGAATCTGTCTGGCCATTATCTTCGGCAGGGAACAGGCTCACCCAGTTCAGAATCTTGCCCAGAGTCTTACAGTGGTCATAAAGAAAGCTAGCGCTGACACCCAGGCATTCTGGTCAATGATAACAACTGACAACTCCATCCCTGATGTTTATTAAGCACTGTTCTAGGTGCTTGGAATGCATCAGCGGACAGAGTCCCTAGGGTGCATGGCACCTCCTGTTGCAGGCTTCCTCTGTGGAAAGCCTTCACCTACATCATTCTGTTTCATCTTCCTATCATCCCCACAGCCCTGAACAGCTCTATTAGTGTGGAGGGGGGAGCAATATGCCCAAATATACCCAGAGCTGGAGCCCAGCTCTCTTTCACCCCTAAGACTACATATGAGGCCACCAGCTCTGAGTCCTGGCCTCTCCCCCAGTGTCTTTGGGGCATACATGGATTAGTGAGACAACAGAGCATGCTGGGAAGACTCGGGCTCAAGTTTGGGTTCAGATTC